GGGAAACTAGAACCCTAAAATAAATAAATAATGACAAATAAACATTCAAAAGTTAAAAGAAATTATTTAACAGATAAATACTAAAAGTATATAAATAACTCCCGTAACTAATTTATAATATCTATTCAATTCGTACATGATTCCCATTAAGGGGTTCTGTGTTGGGTGAGAAAGAGAGAGAGAAATAGAGAACACACACACACTGAACACAAACACAAATCGTAAGAGAGACAGAGAGTGAGAAAGAAAGAGAGAGAGTGAAGACATATACACATATAGAGACACAAAATTGCGCACGCAAAAAAAGAACAGACGCAAACACACACCAGCTCATACAGAGAAAGGCACAATGAGAGGGGGTTTCTGGGTTGTGATTTTCGGGAGGGGTTGTTGGGTTGGGGTGATAGAGTGAAAGAAAATCAAACTAACAAGTGGTGACGATGGTTGGCGGTGGTGACGGTGGTTGGCAGTGGCAGTGACAATGGCTGGTAGTGGCGAAGGTGATGTTGTTGGTAGAGAGACAGATTGATGTATTTTCGGGTGGAAGTGGGAGTGAAAATGAGCAAGAGAGGTTGAAATATATTTCGGTTGGGAATGAGTGAGAGACGTACTTCGGAGTCCTATGATGAGAGGTAATGGGAGGTTGAGATAAGTCCTCTTAGGGTCCTAGAATGAGAGGCATGTTGAAATTGTTGGGCGGAAAAATATTTTGGAGGAGTTTTGGTCGTTGGATCAAAAATTTAGAAACAATTTCTGAGAGATAGGAGTACAAGATAGAGAGAGAAAATTATATGAGATATGTGAGTCTTAGAGTTGTAAAAGAAATGAAAGTCTAATTAGGATTATCAGATCAATAATTTTCAAACGATCTGAGCCTCGAAAAGCTCAAGACAAACAATCCTAGTTCCCTTATTATATAGATTTTTTTCTTTTTAATGGTAAGTTTATCTATTTATGTTGGGAGTTTTGAATAGCTATAATAAAAAGGAACTGAAGTAATTATTTTGGGGGATTTTTGATTCTTGATTTAAGTATGAGATCGATTTCTTGTTACTCTTCTCTTCTCCTTCTTATCCCCTTACTTGTCTCTTCTCATCTCCTCTTATTGGTCTACATCAATTGGTATCCTAACTAATTTGATCTACACCCTAGTGCATTGGTGTATTTTTCACAACACTGAGCTGCCTAACACCTGGATTGAGTCATCTTCTTTGTAATCATAGAACGATTTGGCTACCACTCTGATTTTTCTTGTCTTTTCTTTACATAAGAAAAAAAATCTTTTGTAAGTATAAAACAGACTTGGAAACAGAACTCAAAATGGTTATTTCCCTACCCTATAATGTGTCCTGCACCTAACAGCTCTTTCCATTTATATTCATTTAGTTTCCAATTGGCAATTTACGTGTTCCTAAATAATTGTTGCTGATCACTTAAAAATTTGCTTTAGGTTTTGTCCAAGAAACGGAGGTGTCGAAGTGTATCTTTAGGATTTCAGAAGAGCTCTTAAGGTACGAGTTATCAAGCATTTCATTTTTATATAAGTATACGAGCATTAACCGATCGATAATTTTGAATGCTTGAATACTTTCATCTTTAAAATGATTGAATACTTTCTCTTATCTCGCAGGTCGAGGATTAATACTGTAAGTTTTGGTTTTTTTTTTTTTCAAGAAGCATTTTGCTGGATACCTAAATTTTGCAGTCTCCATGTGAAGCCTCGTGATCAAAGCCCTTAAGAGAGTGCAGTTAATGTTGTCTCTAAATGCAACTTGAATGAACTTGGCTGCTCAATCATTCGAAGATGGTAGGATCTTCAGGGAATGTGCAGGTTGATGTTGTCTTCGTCAGTGCAACTTGAAGGAAAATTGTGGCTCAATCATTTGAAGGAGATGACAGTGATCTCGGTGGCATGTGATTATAAGGTATTGTAGTTCCTTTTGATAGGTGTTGAAATCTTCTTATAATGGCAGAGTTCTTGCTAGTATCAGATCCACTACCCCTTTTCACTTTGTCTGTTGTACTCCTTTGTTCATAGAGTTGTCACTAAATTGGGTGAAGAGAATAAAAAGGAATCCAATCCAAATTAGCTGCTGATGTGAAATCAATAATGGCAGTTGGATTGCTGTAAGAGGAATATTAACTTTTTTATCTGTAAGTAATGTTCTTTGTTCTCTCTCTCTCTCTCACACACACACACACTGGTTCGGTCGCTTGGGTTTCTAAATGCTTTTGAAAGTGTATGATGGTGGAAAAAACTGTGGAAATTGAACAGTTCTATAGGGCAGATTATTTGTCTTGGGCAGAGGTTGCAGTTGCATGTGCTACTATCAAATGGTCTGTTTACTACTAAATGAATTAGGTTTACTGGCTATTACCTGCAGAGGAGACCTCCTATTTTCGTCCGGTACGTACAGGATCTGGCCAATCTTTAACTAATTGTAATGCCTAACCTATCAATAGAACATACAGAGCCTGTAATTTGTTGATTAATGGGGCGTTTAGGCTTACTATTGGGTATTGGTATCCTTTTTGAATGGTGTCTGCTAGTTTGGTGGAGGGTCTTGATACAACCGTAAAGTTGTTGTGATAAAGGTATTATAGATTCAAGTCATAAAAATAGTCTTTTTGCTTGAGAATGAAAGACAACACACGTCATACCAGTCTTTCTGCATGAGAGTGTAAGATTGCACACATATCAGACCATCCCAGACCTTGAAACTCTTCTCCAAATTCAGTTGTGTTGCAGGAGCTTCATGTACTGGACCGTCCTTCTTTAATTGGTGAAGTCACTCTCTCTTTCTCTCACTCTGGTTTCTTAAAGTCAATTCATAAACATAACAGATGTGCCGCCTTATTATGACAAGTGAGGATCTGGTGTGTTAGACCATTGTGTTGGGAGTGAATTTGATTCTTCCCAAATTCCCAAGTGTTGGGATTGTCATGTACAAGGCGACCATTGTTTTGTGTTTAATGGTAGAGCTTTTGCAAACATTAAAAAAAGGGTCAATTAGAAAATGGCCCCACTAATTTTGGGTGATATTGTAATCAACTTCTTCAAGTTTTAATTTTAACAAATTATCTTCTCAACATTCTAATATGCTTCAATTAACCCAAGTTGTTAACTTTGACAATGAAAAAGTACAGAAGTCAGTAATGTTCAAGTCACATGATCTTAGATTTGTTGGAAAAAACAAAATTACTCATAATAAAAAAAAAAATTCATCCAATACTTGCATTTTCCTAATCCCGGTACCAAGACAATATCTATATTTTTTTGTAAAATATTTATTTATTTTAATTCTTTTAGGATGTCAAATTTGTTTAATATTTGGGAGAATTACATTCAGATTTTATGAGGTTTGTCACTTAGACCCCTTGATATTTGAAATATTATACACAGATTCCCTAAAATTTGTACGTGCGTAACACTTAGACCCTTTTTGTAAATATATCTGTAAATAAATTATACTTAGATCACCTAAAGCTTGTGGGTATATAATACTTAAACCCTTTAAGCTTAAAATATTATACTTAGACCAAAAATACTCCAATCAAATATAAAATATAAAATATTTTAAATTTTACAACCAAAATTTATGTTCTATTGTATTATTATATTGAAATAAAATCATATTGGTTGAAATAAAATCATACATGAATTTTGGTTGAAAAATTTAAAATATTTTATATTTTATATTTAATTAGAGTATTTTTTGTTTAAGTATAATATTTTAAACTTAAAGGATTTAAGTATTATATACCTACGAACTTTAGGGGAGTCTAAGTATAATTTATAAACGGATATATTTACAAAAGGGGTCTAAGTGTTATGCACGTACAAACTTCAGAGGGTCTGTGTGTAATATTTCAAATGTCAAAAAATCTAAGTAATTAACTGACAAACATAAAAAAATTTGGGTGTAAATCTCCCTTAATATTTTTATTTGAGGTCATGTGACTTGCACATGACTAACTTCTATCATTTTTCACTGCCAAAATTAACGGTTTGGGTTAATTGAAGCATATTCAAACTTTGAGGATTAAAACTAGAGGGAATTGATTGCACATGACCTAAAGTTGGAAGGGGTATAGGGTAATAAACCCTTAAAAAAACACCGACGGAAAAAAGAGGCTAAAATATTCAATGTATAAGCTTGAGGGAGTTATACATTAACGTAGAATATTTGTCTTGTTTTTTTTTAAACTTATTATCATATATTAATCTTCCAAAATTGAAACTAGAACATGAACTCATACTTTATTCAAACCTTAATCCAAACATGATATAATAGAAATAGAATAGAATGGTTATCAGTTATTACCGCCACTATCGAGTAGATTGAAATCAAATTTTTAATCACATTCCATACTATGCCTGAACCCAAACCAAACATTCGTATACTGAGGTAGTGAAATAAGAACATGAAGAGGTTGGCAGTTGACCTAATGATCATCACCTCCACTATTGAATCTTAAGGTCGCGAGTTCAAACCTCGTTGTCACCCTCGCCTGTAATAGTGTGTGACCAAAAATAATATAAATAAAATAAAAAATAAGTACCCAATTGCATACTGAATTTTATTTTGCTGATTTTCGTCTCTATCTTGACTAATCTCTCTTCTCTGTGTCATATTTCAATGCTGCAGTTCTTTTCAGGTTGAAGTTTTGTTAGCAACAAAAGGTTGTTATGTTTAACCAAAAGCAAAAGGTCTCTCCGGTGTAAAGGTTGACAATTCTTTGCAAGACCAGCCAATCCAACACAATCGACACGACACAATACAACACTGACACGAAGTTCTTGAATATGGGTTACCCTCAATGAATTTAAAAAAATTGACTCATCAGACCCACAAAATAAATAGTTTAACATGAACTCAATTATACACGATCATGTGCAACTTTTAATATATATGAACCATATACAAAGTGAAAAAAATTATGATACACCACGACCCATTGCCACCCCTACCAGCAGAACTTTGTTCTGGACATTAAATATTGCTATCTAACCTGATCATTAATACAATGTTAATCTAGGATGCTGCAAGCAATGGATTACGTTCTCTTCTAAAAGTTTTACATTATTCACAAAAAATAACCACCTCCAAAATTCAAATAAGAAATTCATGGCTGCCATGGAGCTTCTTTGCAAGATCTGTACTGCAAATCATATACACTCGAGGCACTAGAAAATTTTCACAATATGCTAAGATTGAAAATCTTCAAAAGAGAACTTTTCAAAAATTTACAAAGGGCAGTGGGCAACATCATCTGGTACGCATTTCTAGTTACAATGAGCCGTTTATGAGTTGTAGTATGCATGTTATGGGAGATTAAACAATGCAAGTGTAAACATCTAGCATTGTTTCTGCAGGTGAAAAGTAATATAATTACATTGCAAATTGCATAGTTCTTTGTTGCCTCATAAACACATGAAGTTAGACAAGCAAAACTAACCCGAAGTTCCAAATACCTAGGATTGTCACATATTCAGATGGAAGGGAGATCTTTCTTCAATTGAATCATAACAGCTTCATGTAGTTTCAAATCACCTGCATATAGGAAAATATCTACCATCAATAAATTGATGACAATGAACTACTATTTAACCATTCAAGTATAACAGAGGAGTTACATACATTATGACCGAAGTATGACAATTTCACTTCAAAACCTAGTGATGGTGATAGGATATAATCCCTCACAGAGACGGGACCCAGCTGTTTTTTCAGATCCCCGAATTTGGATGACTTAAATTCAATTAACAGAGTTCATGAAATTTCAAACATGAGGGATAAAATCTTCCAAACCGGTGTAAAGGGCTAAGATCTACCACATCATAGGAGCCTATGTAGTAGTTCTCAATTATTTTTTCAGCAATCCTATCCACAGAACTTCCAAGAGGAGATTTGATGTTCAAAACCCAATTAAAGCAAGAAGAGGCCAATCACTAAGCCATCTTTTTAACACTTCATATAGATCGATCTCAGTTTTTAGTCCCAAGTTGAGGGAAAACTTCTTGTGTAATACTCAACATGGCATAAACCCACTTTCCATTTGACATGGGAATAATCATCCACAAATGTTATAGAGGGGAAAAAAATACAATTTCAATGCGCAAATGATAAAGGACTGCACAAGGATCAAAATGAACAAGAACTAGAACATCAAGGACTTTTGCTGCCAATGCTAATATACTTTCTCTATCTCCAAGTCCCAAACATAAAGAGGTGAAATTAGAGTTTAAGTTTCCCATAACATTTCTAACAGATGGAAGCTTATCAGAAACATTGGTATATAATGGAGAAATTTGAAGGACTGTACAGGAGAAACAAATATTATGTTTCCTGAAATAAAGGATAAAGAAAAACTCCGATTCAAATCCAAAACAAATAGGACAATTTACTTTTCTCTGTATCATAGATTATCAGGGGAACTTGAACCAGTGCATCAATCTAGATGTTGGAGAATTCTACTGGCACATAAGCCTGACAATCATGTCAGGTTAAGGTGTTAAGCGGCTTCGTATCAAGTTAAACGGATTGGTGTAAAAAATACTCAACCCGAAAATCGTTAATTAAACGAGTGAAAATAAAAAAAACGAACATGGCCCATGAAACCTGCCAACTAAATGGTTTGTCAATTTCGGGTTCACATGTTAACCCTTCCACCCGCCACAATTACAGACCCGTTTATCATAAAAAATTATGTACACACCAAATTCAAGCATCCAACATATCCATAAAAAACCAAATTTCACCACTAACATACTACAAAGTAAAAAAGGAAAACAAATAGAAAAAAATACTCCACATTCAACATCCAATTCCTATGTGTGCTTATTTAAAATTAAAACTCTTATGTATGCTGAACTGCTGATGGGTTGGGCTAGGAATGGGATATGGACTTCTAAAATTAAAATTGAACATGTTCTAGACCCAATTCCTAGGCATGGCTATTTAAAATTTAAACGGGTGGGTGATAAATCGGTTAATATACTTCACCCGAGCACAACTCGTGTAACTAGCAGTGGGTCCACCTATTTATCACTTGAACCCATTAAGGTCAACTTAAACCCGCTAATTTCATGTCGAATAATCGGGTCGTGTTGCACTTTGTCAGGGCTACTAGCACATTTAAGACGATAAACATTTCTATCCTCTGGTACTTCTAACTAGTGTTGTTAAAGACACACTTAGGCCCCCGCCTTGCCAAAACTAGGCAAGGCCACGCCAACAAGGCACAAACCTAGTGCGCTTAGGCACTTATCAGGCGCGCTTTAGTGAAAACTTTTTGTTTTGTCTTTTTCTCTTCCAAATGCATGTGGGTCAATTATCATTGTGGAAGTACACGATGTGTTGGGTGTGAGTGATACACAAAAAATATTATAAAATCTAATCTAAGCCAATTCAATGCCAAAAGAAAGCCCTAATAGTCGCCTCTTCTCCCTCCCTGTTTTGGCTCAAGTAATTCAAGTATCATACTTGTCTTAATTATATGGACTCAACTGCTTGTTTTGATAAATGATATCTCTGTTCTTGTGAATAACTGAACTGATTTTGTAAATCAGTTGAATGCTCTATTATTGTCATAACACATACGGATTGACGTTACATAAATTGGAAAGTTGAGAAGTAAGAGCTTTGTTTCTGTATTAAAAAGTTCCCATTTATCTAAATTAAGGTGGTTTCAATAAATGCAAGTGTTTATGAAAAGAACCTCTGGTTATTGAAATCAGCCTCTGTGTGGAATATTTGGAACTTGGATATTTTATGATGTTGGAATTTTTTAAATATTTGTCTATATTTTGGGTTTTTTGATGTTACGTCATGTTTTGAAAAATCAGTTGCATGTAATGTATAACTTGTGCCTTACTTCAATGAGGACTGTGCCTAAGCACCAAGGGACCTTGGTGGCTTAGTGCGCCTTAAATAACATTGCTTCTAACCATGGTTGCCAGAGCTACATTGTGATCCATAATATTTTATCCAAAAGAATATAAAGAAATCATTACCAAATGCCAAGTTTAGTACACATTAACGGAGGCTACTGGAAAAGTTAGTTCAGTATAAATCTTAACAATTGCTGTTATATGCAAATACCAAGTTCTGTACACAAGAAAGACCCCCCCCCCCCCTCTTCCCCCCCAAAAAAAAAAAATTCAAAATCAAAATCAAAATACTGCATTCAATTTCAAAGAAACTTTAAAACAACATTTTGAAAAATATGAAACTAGAGTAAAGAAAAGCAAAAAAAGTTCTCAATACGACCTGTAATAGCTAATATAAAATCATATTTTCATCTCAGAATTATAATCAAAAGGTGATGATATCGCAACTACTCAAGGTGAGTCCAAATCCAATTGGCAGTAGTGTTTGTATCGGTAGAAGTCAACTTACAAAGCAAAATCATACATGAAGGGTAATGGCTGGACATGGCAACACATAATGTTTGCATGACATATTTTAAGAGTCAAAAAATAAAGACCACAAGCTAATTACCGCGCTTAACACCAACAGCAGATAAGGCATCATTAACTCGCCTCCACACTAGCAAATCCATTAAGTTCCTCCACAGTTGCAACCAAACCACTGCATGGTAAATCTTTTGCATATGAGCATCGGTTGCCTCCAGTGTGATATGGTACAATAAGTTAGAACTGCCTGTGTGGCTTGCCCCTACAACCCTCGCGAATCGAAGTTGATCCTTCTGCATAAAAACAAAAAGTTAAAAGTAAGGACAATAATTATGTGAATTATAATGAATGAAAATAAAAAACAAGAAATATGCCCAAGATAAAATAAGCAATATGAAAGAAAAAAAATTGAAAAAGAGGAGAATTTCTTACCCTCTGTTTGGTTTGATAGAAAATAGGGTGGATGAAAAATAGGGGAAGGAAAAGTGGATGGAAGAAAAGATTTTTCACTGTTTGGTTTGAAAGGAAAAGAGGAGGGAGAGGAAAATTGGAGTGAAATGCTATCCTTCCTGCCCACCAATTTCTTTCCCCCCAAAAGTGGACGGAAAGTTGGAGAAAAGTTGCACACCAACTAATAGTTTGTCTAATCTGACGTTTTTGCCATTGATGCACTTTTAAAACATTGCTTCAGTACCCACTTCCACTTATCACTATTGATCCGGTGTATTCCAACTAATATAATAACCAATTTTGCTTGTTCATATTAACCAACCTACTGAAATGAGTTTGAACCGAAAAAAAAAATACTTGAATGAGTCATACTATTCATTGCAAAAACATTTGGTGCTCAATATATTATTGGGGACTTAAAAATTTGATCTAATTTATTGACCTAATGATATAGTTTCATTGGAATCAATAATAAGTTCTAAAATTTGATGGAGCCCACATTCAATCCAAAAGTTTTAGTGAATTAGGTCACAATAGTATTGCTCATATATTATAAGGAAAGTAAGGGTAGAGAAGTAATTTTCACATACATATTTTTCCTTTCCTTTCATTTTTCATTCAATACCAAATGATAGAAAATAAATCTCTCTTACTTTCCATCCCTCATACCAAACAAAAAGGAGGAAAAATATCTTTCTTTCCTTTGAGAAAGGAAGATCTATTCCTCCTACTTTTCTTACTTTTCATCCTTCCTACCAAACATACTATTAATTAGAATACTGCCCAAAACACCATAAAGTGATCATCACCATTGAAAAAGGAAAGTAAAAAGGAAGATACTAGTCCCTTAGACTGATTTGTAAAAATTGACAAATATGGTGAGGTCATTTGAAATAATGAGGTCATAGTCAACATTCTACTTTTAAAAGCTATAAGAAGGGGGTGAACATCCATGTTTGTCTAAATGGATTAAGCATAGAGTTGTCTTTTAACGATGCACAGGGGAGTGGAGCAGTGTTTTTTTTTTCCTTCTCTCTTTTAGTTATTTATCATTTTTTTTTTGGGGGTGTTGAATTCATGCAATAACACTTTGTTTTGCAATAATTTATGGTTTTGCTAGTTTTTTAAAAGATGGACCTTTCTAACAAACGTAGCAGCATGGAGATAATAATGCTGACATTGGCATCTAAGAGTCTGTGGTTAGGGGTTCAATTTTTAACAGTTGTTGATCAAACTAAAATAAGTACTAATATTCTCAACCGAAATATCATTCAAGTTGAATGGTACTAATCTCAGATCCCACTCAACTTTAAAAAGCTTCATTACTACAATGTGTAAGAATAATCACTTTCAAATGTGTACTAATCTCAAATCAAGTTGAATGGTACTAATCTCAGATCCCACTCAACTTTAAAAAGCTTCATTACTACAATGTGTAAGAATAATCACTTTCAAATGTGTACTAATCTCAGATCCCACTCAACTTTAAAAAGCTTCGTTTGTCGTTGGGGCTCAAAATCTTCCTTGCAACAATCTTATTACTACAATGTGTAAGAATAATCACTTTCAAATGATTATATTAACATTTATCTTTAACCAACAGACATTGCAGAACTTTTCAATTATGGATCGTATAACAAAATGAATACCATAAGGACAGAATCAATCATCCCCTCTGTTGCATTTTTTGTAAGGATAAACTAGAGAGCAAGTCTCCTTCCATGTCAAAAGTGTTTCTTCTTTTTCCCACTAACATCAAATAATTCAGAATCGCCTTCCTGCAAATACTGTTCTAACCACTCGTTTTGCTACACTGATCCAAATAAGCTACCCATGTCATTTGTTTCATTTATTTCAGTTGTATAAAGTATAAACGCCCAGTTCCTCCATAATCAACTGCACCTGAGATGCTTTAACAGCCATAAGCATCAATACATGTCAGATTCAAACGAAAGAACCTACATCCACCACATATAGCTTCTCAATTTGGTATGCCAACATTATATTAATTTGATGAATCTGGCTATCACAAAACTAATTGCAAACTTTGGATGGCATCAATACTTTCTTAGATGGCTGGTAAACAATATCACATGGATTAATGGGATAGTAGGTTCAAACTCATATCATACTAAGATGGCAACATTAAACTATTTTTTTTTTTGGGTAAGTAACACTAAAGTATTACTTTCCCTTGATAGTTTACAGATAACTATCAAATAGGAAACAATAAGTCACTCAATTCGTGATCTAAATATTTTCATTCCTCTGCATAGTAATGGACCAAGGGCATTCTGTCACATATCTCACAATCACATGAAATCATCTTCTTGTTCCATTGATTTCAAGGTTAATCTGAAAGTAACAGACCATATTTTGCCAAGCCAGGAACCTCATCTTAGTCAGGTTGAGACTTTAAAAGTTACTAGGGACACCTTAAAAAAGAAGTGATGTCCACTAATTAGATGAATCCCAGTTATCAGCCAATCTATGGATAAATCAAAAAGCATACTCAAGCTTTTACAACCTGATTACATGACCCCCCACCCCTCTTTTTGTGACACATCTTTTGAAGATTCTCCACACTCAAGTGTTTCATTGAAAACAAATGGCTAAAATGAAGAGCCCAAAGTTCTGGTACAATATAGTACCTATCCCCCAACATTGATAGGGAAGTAATTTTTTGTTCATCTACCTCAGTGAACAAATTTTACACAATAAGTATTCAGTGGTGACAAGCAATAAATTGTATTGGTCCATTAACTCTAACCACCCACCCTGGTAATCAAAAGAAAATAGAAATAGTAAGTGGAACCATGACCCCGTAGAAAGACATCAAGACCCAGAAAGGGGTGGGAAATGAAGCCCAATCCTGGCCACCCATTTTCCCACCTTCATGAGAAATTAAAAAAAAGGTTCTAGAATCTATGTATGTTCTAATTTCGAATCTCATAAGATAAAAGATAAAAAAAAGGATGATGATGGCCATTTTCCTCTAAAAAGGATAAGATGATGGTCTCATCAATACGTATAGGATTCGTATGAGGTCTTTATCATCATTATCCTAGGAAGCACAGATAGGGATATAGAACATACGATACACACACAATGATATGACAAAACCTAACAACATTAGATAGGGATACAATCTGAATATATATTTTATATTTTTGCTATTATCTAACAATTTGAAAATTATAGTTTTTAGTTCTTTTCGATAACAATTCGAAAAATAAAAAATATTAACTTTCAAGGAATCATATATAGTCTAGTATACCTACAAAAAAATCGAATGAAAGGAACCAGAATCAATATTTAACTAGTTGATTTGCTTAAAAGTAGTTGTTGCCAAGAGATAGAGTGTAATGAACCCATTTTATGTCCCTTTAAAATATATGGTACCTAAGAATGCTTAAGAAACACCCATGTGCCTCCCAAAAGACATATGCATTTTTCCTTATGTGCATCATCATTGTGAACTCAAGAGGGAAGGATAAAGTTGATACTTAGAAATTAGATGTACTGTTATGTGTATACACCGCTATATACAAAGATATTTGTTTTGGGTAACCATATTCGAGACATACCAAAAATAAAAGAATATGCTATTAATCATAGGATATGAGTGATGCGCCTCTGATATGCATCCTCGACAATCCAACAAGTACTGATATCCAATACGACATCCGATAAAAATAATTCAACCCAAGTGAAGAATACATACTTGATAGGTGTTAACTAAAGATTTAAGAAGCTTAATACTCTATTCCCAAAACGTGTATCAAAACCTGTATCGTTTTTTCAAAAATAATATACCGTGTATCGTAAGATATGTTCAATTTAAATATAAGCTTCTTAAATCTTTAGAACTATGTACAAGGTTCTCAAAACGTGTATCAAAAACCGTATTGTTTTTCAAAAATAACATATTGTGTATTATAATATATAGTGTATCATAAGATATGTTCAATTTAAATACACACACCCTCGTTAAAAATATGTAATTATATAGTATCTGAAGTAATATAAATATCATTTCAACCCACTTATCATTTCATGAGATTTGTGTGTCCAACAAAGATTGAAAGAGAGACAATCATTCGTCTTCAGAATAGAAATCGAAATGTAGGTAGAATTTTTTTTTCTTGAATGCGAGAAGAATAAGATGCTGGAGAAATACAAAGAAATTCTTAGGAGAAAAATATGATTGCGAACTTTGTCTGTTTGAGGTCAAACCAAAATATAAAAAACAACATATCAGGAAACAACGTTGTTTCATTGTTTAGGTAAGAAAAAGCCTAGCGAAATAATATTGTTTTGATATTGCATGTATCGTTTTTTGATTGTATCGAAACGTATCATAAGATACATATTGCACACTGTAAGAAACAATGAAAAACGATACGACTCGAATATATATATATATATATATATATATATATAGTTAAGGTACTATATCGCGACATATGGTAAGATACGTATCGTGTATCTTAAGATCCTAACAACTATGACTATGCAAACTATGAAATCT